ACTGGTATCCCAAGTATCCCCCTGCTGCCTTCTCATTCGCCTCAAGTTTTTCCAGAATTCTTGGACAGATTGGAGTGTTCCATTTAGTGGCTTGCCTTCTACATTTAAAGAGCTTAATCATGATTTGTTTTCTTATAATCTCAAGGCATGAAATCAAAGGCTGGTTCCTTGCTTCTAAAATCATTGAATTGAAGCATTCACAACCGTTATTTACCAACATATCACACTTGGCAGTAAAAGAGAAATGAGATCTTGACCATTCACTAGGGTGCTTATCTGACAACCATTCAAAAGCCTTCACATCTAACTCCTTGATCTTTCTCAATGCTAATTTGAAACTATTTATGGTAGTAGCTCTAGCTGCATCCCAAAGAGCATCTTTGATGGCTTTTCCTTGAAACCCAGCAACTTTCATGTTTCCATGTAAGTGCCTAACACAGAACCTGTGTTTTGCTGTTGGTATAACATTATGAAATGCAGGAATTAATCCCTTTTGCTTGTCAGAGATGAAAGTTATCTCATGCTCATTTCCTTCTGTAATCCCCAAGTCTTTTTTAAGAAGCTCTAAAAACCATATCCATGAATCCTTTGTTTCTCCTTCAACTATTGCATAAGCTAAAGGGAATATACCATCATTAGCATCAACCCCTACCGCTGTCAATAACTGGCCCCCCATTTTCCCCTTCAGATGACAACCATCAACTCCCACAATAGGCCTACAATATTTATAGCCCTCCCTACAAGCTTCCCAACAAATGTACATTCTTAAAAACCTCTTTCTTCCTACAGGATCTTCCAAGTCACTAAGTTTAACAATACAACTTGTCATTGGATTAGTCTTTTGAATTGCAAGACAATAACTCCAAAGTTTGTTAAAAGAATCCTCTAGTTCACCTTGTATTGCTGTCTTTGCCTTTGCCATTGCCCTATAGGCTTGTTTATTACTTATATTAAATTTCTCATCATGACACACTTTTTCTCTAAACTCTTCCATTTTCCAGTTGCTATGACTCTTGATTTCATTTTTCCATCTCTTAGCAACTTTAGTGGAGTTAACCATCTTATTTTTAAATGTCCATGAACACCCTTCATGCCTATCATCAAGTTCTAACACTCTCCAAGATAAACAGTTACTAAGCTTCCTACAATTGATTCTCCAAGGGCATGAGGGGTGTTTACAACTCACTGTTACTCTAAGCTTATCATTTTTTTCAAACTTCAAGTCTTTCCCATTGTTGAAAGCATAATTGTGAATAGCTTCTTTAAACTCTTCTTTATTGCTGAAAGTTAAACCCTTGCAGAAAGTAGGACTTTTCATGTCAGTAGATGCTCTGAAATCAGGCCATGCACTATCTTCACCTTCACTATCACCCTCTAAATTTACACATTCACCATCATCAGAATAAACAACTTCAAAATCTTTATGATCACCTTCTATTCCTACTTCAGCAATTGGTTGCAATTGTTCCCCTTCATATTCCACAGTTGAATCCACAAATTTGTCAAGGTCAATGTAATATTCTCTTCTTTCATTCTTCTCATACTCATTACCATAAGTATATTGCACATTTACTAATGGATGACTAAGTCCTGCACTTGAGGATGCACCAAATGTTGATATTAATACCCATACCTCTACCTCTCTCGATTTATCCATTTGGTTGATTAAAGAATAAGTCTCAACATCACTGATTAACTCAATCAACTTTTTTCTTGATAGTGTAAAAAACTTACACTCTAAAATGTTATAGCCTAATTCTTCAACCTTTTCCTTCAAAGTAATGAAACCCCACTCATCAACATTCATATAATCCCACCAATCAGACTTCCCCCCTACATATCTTGGTTTTGAAGCACTGTTAATTTTTCCACCATGCAATAACTTCAAGGTGAATAGGTTTTCATTTGATGCTCCATCTGTGATAAAGAAATAAATAAAAACATAAATTACGTACTAAGTTGCATTTATTTAAACTTGCTTGCATTTATTTAAACTTACTGCAAGCAGTCCCCATTTACAATTCAAGGTGAATAGATTTTCATTTGATGCTCCATCTGTGATAAATAAACTACTAGGATTGATTGCAAGAGATGAAAATTTTGTACTAATTAATCAGGTCAAGCAGTCCCCATTTGCATTCAGGTAAAACCAAAACAGAAACATATGCACTGAAGAAACTTTAAGGCCACAAATGGATACAATAATGACATTAACACCACTGATCAAAAACTATACATAATATATCTAAAGACACATACATCTATTTCTGTATATTGCATATATAGAAACAAATAGATAAAGACATGCCGACAGGGATAATACTCAACTCATAGACAAATATATTTGCACAGAGATAATGCACACACATATATACATGAAACGAGTTTACATACCGTATTTTGGAATATTAGCGCTTAGAGACCTTCGCCTTGAACCCATTTATCAGTACGATTCTTCGCCCAAGTGAGAATTTCAATTTCTGTCTCTATTACTTTCCTAGTGACTAAGGTTAAAATAATTCAGGGAGAGAGATCGATAGCGCAGAGGATTTCTGAGAAAGAAGAGTTATGAGAAAGGGATAACACAACACCGCAGTAGGATAGTTACGAGAGAGAAAGAGATAGCGCATATATAGAAGATTAGAAGTTACGATAGTTCTGGGAAGGGATAGCGCGATGGCGCGATTAACCAAAAACAAAAAACGGATAGCGCCAAAGTTGTTTTTTTTTTTTTTTTAGAGAGAGAAAGTCTAATAAAAAAGATGAATTTTAATATGTATTTGGGATAAATTATTAAATTACATTATTGACCTTCTTCTTAACGATAGATTAACGGAAATTTTAACGGAGGATCAATAGTGACAATTAAATTAAAGTCGAGGATGTAATATGACAAAATTAGAAGAGTAGGACTAAATGTGGCAATGCCACAATAGTCGAGGACTAAAAATGGAATTTACTCTTTATTAATTTATTATATTCACTACATTGTACATTGTCTTCTTTTTACATTATCTTGTAATTAAATATCAAAGTTAAAATACAAAATATGTTATATATTTATGTTATTGACAAACTCTCAAAACAAATTGTCTCAACAATGAATATAAATTTTTTTTTAAAAAAAATCATTGATTTCATTATTGTTGATGAAAAGTATGTACGACACTTTATTACTCTTATTAATTTAAATAAATTAGTATCTACAACAAAAAGTAATACATATGCATTTAATTAATTTAGAATTCAATGTTTATAATGCTTTATTTAAAAAAAATATTCATTATAAAAAAAAATTAAAAGAAATATAATTTCATTAGTTATATATATTATTTTTATTTTCTACAATTCAAAGATTCCTTACCTTCAAATTTATTAATTTATTAATTTCACTTTGTCCATTGTCTTCTTTTACATTATCTTGTAATTAAATATCAAAGTTAAAGTACAAAATATGTTATATATTTATTTACCAAGTATTTTATACAAATATAATATAATAAATATTAATATTTTGTTCAATACTTTCACATGATAACCTACGACACACATCTCACAACACATGAAACATGCAGGGGAAAAAGTATCACTACTAAATATCAATAGGTGTTTGTAAGATAAATAGTGCATATTACAACTAAAATCTCAGTCATATACACAACAAGGCAAATCTAAAGCTTCCTACACCATAATCTCATTGCATGATGAATCCATCTATGCTGTCACCAGTAACCTAATTGCAAATGACACACTACCAATAAAGAAATAAAAAAAGAGAGGACAAGCATGTACTGAAGATGAAAACAATGACAATGATACCCAAAAGAAATTAAGAAGAATTAGAGAAATTTAAACCAAAAGTAGTATTTATTTAGACTATCGCTTTAAGACTAAGTATTTAGACTAGCGTTATTACAAAGTTGCAAACATTTATTTTAGTGACAATTATAATCAATCTCTCATATATTATCTTGAATTTATATACTTTAAATTATTGATTATTGATTTAAATAAATAAATTCAACATTTATTTACCTATGCATAAACATCTCCTATATAATATTGCATTGATATACTTTGAAATACTTATATTTAAAATAATCATTGGGCATTATTCCATTCGTGCCGCGTAAAAAAAACTAGTAGAGACATACATACATACATACATTAAAAGAAGGGAAAATATCACTTTTTTCCCCTGAATTATTCAAGTGGCTATTTTTCCCCTGAAATGTTAAATGGACATTTTTACCCTTAAAATAAATATTTTATTTATTTTTCTTCTCCAACAAATTATGATTACTATTCGGTTCAAACCGAACAGACACTATAACAACTAAACTGGAATATTCCAATTACAATTTAGAATCGAAACTGATATTTAGAGTTTATCAAAATCATGAACCGGAACGGCCGGTTCATGTTCCGAACTGAAAAAAATAAAATACATTTATTGTTGAATTTACACTATTTTAAAAATAAAGAAATAAAATTTTAAAATAAAGATGGTTCAAAATCACGAACCAGATCCGGAACTGCCGGTTCAGGGTTGAAGATTCAATTTTTTCGATTCATAATTTTAATAAACGGAAATCCGAATATTGGGTCCTGGATCTAAATCATAACCGAAAACTTTCAATTAGATTGCTATAGTGTCCGGTTCAGTTCGAATCGAACTGTGATCATCCCTACGTATAAGCAATAATGTGTTGGAGAAGAAAAATAAATAAAATGTTTACTTTAAGAGTAGAAATGTCAATTTAATATATCAAGAGGAGGAACCATCACTTTTAAAATAATTGAGGAGACTAATGTGCTTACATGAACAACTCAAAAAAAAATATGCTATAATCATATAATTCAGGGGGAAAAAGTGTCATTTACCATTAAAAGAAAAATAAAAATCAGGTGTACCGTACCAAATTATGGAGAGAATCGGTTTAACGTGATAGGCACGTGCCGTGGAGTAGTCGCGCACCGCTAAGATTTTTTTAGAAAAGGGAACAGTGAGCGAAAGCAAGGCGCCGCCCAGCTGGACAACAGTAGTAAGAAGCAGAAGCCCTAGCCTGCAAAGGAGCGAAGAATTTGTTTGATCGGTGGTGAGTAAGGACTAAGGATGGAGATGTCAAGCGAATTCGATCGCCTTCTCTTCTTCGAGCACGCTCGCAAGACTGCCGAAGCCGCCTACGAGAAGAATCCCCTTGACGCCGATGTCTGTACTCTCTTTCTCTCCCTCTATATCATTATCCTATATATATAAATCAATTTTCCTAAATTTTAATTTCGTTTTACACTCATGCCGGGACTTGGATATTTATTCTATTTTCTGGATTATTAATTGAGTGATTGCAGAACTTGACGAGATGGGGCGGTGCGTTACTTGAGTTGTCACAGTTTCAGCCTGTTCCTGAATCCAAACAGATGATTCTCGGTATTATTATTATTTTTTTGTGATTCGTAGAATTGATATTTTTTTGGGCCTGAATTGTTGAATGATGAGTCACTGTATTTTTTATTTTTTTTTTAAAGATACTGCAAAATTTTGTTGCTGATTTGAAAACAAAGAAATATTTTTGCTAGCACAGAAGGAAAATGGGATGTAGTGACTAGTGAGAACTGATAAGTGATTGGCTCTATTTGGAAAATACCTCTCATCAATGAATCCATGTGTAAAAAGTTTGATGTCACTTATAATTGGAAAAAAAAACTTTGCAACTTCTTTAGCTCATTTGTCTGAGAAAAAAGTATATCAATGCAGCTGTGTCCACTTATGGATGATTAATGTTCTTAAAATTGTTGTTTAATGACCTCTAATTTCCCTAGAAGAAATTAATATTGTCAGTTGATGAGGTTTAATTCTTTTTCTTTGTTTTGGGGAAATTTATGTTGTAGACTCTATTTCAAAGTTGGAGGAGGCATTAGACATCAATCCCCAAAAACATGATGCTGTTTGGTGTCTGGGAAATGCACATACATCTCATGCATTCTTGACTCCTGATCAAGATGAAGCTAAGGTTTATTTTGATAAAGCAACCCTATGTTTTGAGCGTGCAGTTGAAGCGGTAATTTCCACAAAGACTATCTTTGGCCACCACACACATATTTTGACTTGATATAAACCTAGCGCTGTACTTTATTTATTTATTTATTTATTTTTTCTTGCAGGATCCAGCGAATGATCTTTACCGCAAATCTTTGGAAGTTGCTGCTAAGGTATCACATCCAATATCACCATTTAGCCCCTTTTTAAAAAAAAAAAAAAATTATTTATTTTTTAATTTTGTCTTCCCTCAATAACAACTACACACCTGAAGAAATCTCCAATTTATTGTGTTGCTGCATTTTGTTAGCTTTAAGACATAAAATAGTTTTTACTTCTCTTTGCTCTTACATTGGTTATTTGGTAATATTTTTTTTTTTTGGCAAACAAAAGAAAGAAAGCATGCTTGGTTTCTGTTTTTGTTTTTCCCGTTGAAAACATTTCCAAAACAAAGGTTTTTTAGATACTAAAAGAAGTCGCTTTTCATTATTTAAAGCACAACTGCACAATAAAACATGCTTGTGCATTACATCAAAGTTCAAATGAGGTCTACCTATCAATTCTTCCCATCAGTAAGAACCTACCCACTATCATTTATTTAGTTCTTGTTTCTCAATCAACCATCACTGGTCCAATCTTCATCCATTTTTTTGCAAATTGATCAATGATTCAAGTTCTTCTGAGTTCTTAGAGGTTATTCTGTGTTCTCTGGGACTCTGGTTGCTATAGATGTGGATGTATCAATGAATGATTACCACTGCATTTAAAGTATCATGTGGTGCTGTTCTCTTTCGAATACCAAAGATGGTATTGGTGTTAGAGATTATCACCCAATGATTCCCAAACAGCTTCGGCTGGTTCGTCATAGTTTCTGAAACTTGCCAACTCAGATTCTAATCATAACAATTCCTTTTAAAACTTTTTTTTTTAATGTATCTCTTACCTCTTAGTGATGGCTTTAAATTCCTCTATACCATTTTCTCTCTTTTAGTTTCCTCAACCCACTAGCTGATTGCCTTTTCTCAGTTATGCAAAACTCCAGTTAATTTTACATATTAATCATATATTTTTTCTATTTTTGACAACCTCAAAATTTATTTAAAGAAAAAGTTCACCAAATGTCTGCTTGGAATATGTGTTATGGTCATTTTTGACTGTTAACCTTAGATTTAAATATAAGCAAAAACAATAATTTGTGGCTTTCAACTACGGAGTGTTCATTTTTTATCAGCAAGGAGTTGGCTTATTTGACATTTTTGCATATAGGCTCCTGAATTGCACACAGAGATCCACAAGCATGGTTCAATGCAACAAGCTATGGGGCAAATGGGGCCAGGGCCTTCTACATCTACAAGTACAAAGGTGATTTTTTGACATTTTACTTTTGTAGTTATATTCCAATCATATGCAACATTTTTTTTCTGAATTGACCCATTTCTATTAGCATCATAAACATGTGTTTCGGTCCTAGTCTGCTTTTTTCCTATGATTGTGGCATGAATAATGGTTGGTACTTTCTGTTTATTGTGTCTAGCAACAATTTGTTGGCTGATAAGAGGACAAATGTTAGTTTAGCATTCCCCTAGTCTGCTACTTTTGTTGCAGTGCTATTTGGCTATGATTGTACTCCTTTACTTCCCTTATATTTTCAGATGTCCTTAAAATGATGGAAGCTATTTTTTGCGATCTATGTTTCTATTTTTTATTTTGAATACAGAGAATTGCTTATCAAAAAGAAATAAAGAAAGAAAAAAGGAGACAAAGTCAAGCCTACATTTGCATAATCCTAGATATCTGTTACATGTCATGTGTTTCTTGAGTTCAATGCTTACTTCATTATTTATCCCCTTGACTACTCACCTTTTACTTGCTGCATATTCCTTGTTGCAACAAGGTGAGCATGTACCATTAAGAATGTTAATTTCCTGATGCTTTTTCTTATATTTCCATTTTATTTCACTATTTGACCCTAGTCATTTCATTGTGGAATAGACACATGTTATAAAAATTGGCAGATTTTTTCTGGCTCATTATTTGCAGTGGCATGCATCCACAATAATGTGATAAAAAGAAATGCTGTGTGCTGGAATATTTGCTTTGATTTGATTTGATGTCATCATCTATCTTTTTCTTATGACTATACCGCTATACGTCTATTGTCTGTACTGAATGCTATAATCTATAATAGCAGACTGCAAAGAACAAGAAGAGCAGTGATCTTAAGTATGACATTTTTGGATGGATTATACTTGCTGTTGGTATTGTTGCATGGGTGGGCTTTGCGAAATCTCAGGTTCCCCCTCCACCGAGATAAGCAGAACACATTCAGCTATACTCAAAGCTCTGGATAATAGGATACTTGCTGGAGTTGCAGAAATTTTTTCCTCATGTTTTGGTCGTGTAATGGCCTCGTCTTAGTTTCTATCAGACCTACGGAATAGACTCAATAACCAGTAATTTTATTTTTCTTATTCCTATCTCTTGAGAATGCTGATCTTTGTTTTCTATATTTGTTTTGTTGAATTTGAAATTTTAGCTGCTGCATAAGTACCTTGTTGAATATCTTTTGCTTTAGGGTTCACTTGCAGCTCTTGATGAGCTTATGAATTTTACTATCTGCTTGTATGCCAAGTTAACTGCGATTTGGTCGTTCAGAAATAGTATTCATTCTTTATTGGCTCTGTTGATAATACTGGACTCAACTTACTGAAGCAACTAATATATATATACATATATATATATATATATATATATATATATATATATATATATATATATATATATATATGCTTGTATATTACGTACGTTTGATCTGATGGAAGTCATGGAACCATTAGGGATTTAGGGTTTATCAATAGTTATTAAGGATTTTAGTGAAAAAATATGGAGGGATGGAACCATTAGGGTTTATCAACAGTCATAGCCCGTCCCGTGGTTTGCTGGAAAATATTTGAAGGGAAATGAAATTGAAATTTTATGGAAAATGGATTCCATTGTTTGGTCGGTGGAAAAAAAATTACTAAAAATATAAATTTTATTGTTGTTTGGTTGGGTTTGGAATTGTAAGAAATAATGAGTTGAGAAAATTATACTTTTAGTACTATGACTATTTGAGTCTTGTTAATTTTAATCAATGACTTTAAAAAATTAACAATTTTCGGAGTAGTATCTTAACTATGTAATTTTTAACAAATTTGGTCCACCCGATCAAATTGTTGGCCAATTGTTGTCGAAAAATTGTAATCCATTTTAATTTGTTTAGGCTAAAGTGTCATCCCGCACCATGAACCATTCTTAATTATTCATGCCGCACCATGATCTTTAATAAATAATAAGTGATATTTAGAGCCATAAACTATTTTTTTTTTTTTGGCCTAGCATTTTTTGTAGGTTATCCGGTAATCTTGATGACATGGTCCGGTAATAAGCTGATGTTGCATTTTTAATTTTTTAAAAAAAAAAAAAAAAAAAAAAAACTAAACGGTTAGTCGGTTACCCTATTTCGGATTCTTAGTGTGCTTGGAGGAATTTCTTTACCCTATTTCGACACCAGTTTCATTCTCATCACCGGCTATGATTCGGGCTGCGTCGTCGTCGATCTCCGGAGGTTCCATTCTCGAAAGCCATGGATGATGCCGAGGAAGCCATTCTGGTCCGCAACATCATGTCGGAGTGCATATGGAAGCTACAGAGATGGGTAGGAGTTGGGACGGAGAAGAAGCTCACCCAAGCCTCCAAAATCAGAGAGGAACTAATCAAAACCCTCATCCCCAAACACCAATCCTAAAAAGGGAGAATTTTCAACGCAGAAGAGCTCAAGTCCCTGGTGTATCTCCACGCCTCCATTTGCTAGTCTTTGAGGCTATACCCACCGTGCGCATTCCAGCACAAGGAGTCGGTCCACACGGACACTCTCCCCAGCGGCCATTCCGTCCACCCTGAGATGAAAATAATGATCCCTTTGTACGCAATAGGGAGGAAGGAGTCGATATGGGGAGAAGACGCGGCGGAGTTCAAGCCGAAGAGATGGATATCGGAGAAGGGGACGGTGAAGCATGAGCCTTCCTACAAGTTCATGGCGTTCAATGCAGGGCCTAGGACTTACTTGGGTAAAGAAATTGCTTTCGAGACCTCACCTTCTCCCGCGTGCCAGCAGCTAAGCAGAGGCGTGACTCTTCTCCCGTCAGTGAGCAGCAGGCACGACGGCGGCTCCTCTCTTCCGATGCGTTCAGCACGGCGACCTCTGTATTTGGTCAGCAGTGTGTGAAGCAGAACAACACTCCTCGACAGCAACGCTGACAACGTCTGTACTAGCGAAGCATGGCAGTGGCATCTCCTCCGGCGAGCAGAGCAATTCCAGCGGAGCTTGGTAGCCGGCGATCTCCCTCTCCTGGCAAGCTTTGCGACAAAACCTAGGGGAATGGAGAATCCGAATAGTACCATTTAGGTTTTTCATCCAACCAAACATCTCCTTAAGGATTTTAGTAAAAAAAAGTCAAGGAATAGGATTCAAATTGGCGACTGAACGTAACATGAAAATGCAATTAGGTCACTAAATGGGAAAAAAAAAGTGCAATTAGGCCACTAAACACTCCAAATGTATTCAATTTCACCTAATAGCAGGTCACCTTCAATTTTAGCAGGTTACCTGCTTACGTGACAGCTGAGTTGGCATTTTTAAATAAATCTTAATAATAATTTAAAAAAAAAAAAACGACGGCCAACCCCCCCCCCCCCCCCCCCCCTTTTAATGTTTTTCATTTTCTAAATTTATTATTAAAATTTATTTAAAATTATTTTAAAATGTCAACTCAACTGCCACGTAAGCAGGTAACCTGCTAAAATTGATGGTAACCCGCTATCCAGTGAAATTGCATACATTTGGAGTGTTCAGTGGCATAATTGCACTTTTTGGAGTGTCCAGTGGCCTAATTGAACGTTTTTTTTAGTGTTCAATCGCCTAATTACACTTTTTTTTTTTCGTTCAGTGGCGTAATTGCATTTTCAGGTTACGTTTAGTGGCCAATTTGAACCTTATTCCAGAAGTAAAAAAAGTATGGAGTAGAATTCATCAATAACTAAGGATTTTAGTAAGAACTATATAGTCAATTTTATAATTATTGTAAATTTTTAATTTGTAATATTTATTAAAAAAATCTTATTTTTTTCAATAACCTTTAGCTATTGATTTATTCCGAAATAGATGGATCAAATAAATTTTGCATGTTGTAGATTCTCATGTGAAAGTATTGAATAAAATAATAATATTAATTATATTTGTAGAAAGTTCATGAATAGTACATATTGTTCTAGTTCTATAATTTGTTTACTTCATAATAACAACAATGACTTAGTAAGTAGTCCAAATATTGATGCCACAATGTGTCCAGTGTCATCAATAATTTTCACATCCATTTTGCACTTGTTTGATTTTGTGTGTGTATTTTTTGTAAAAATAAAAATTGTTTAATTGATACTAACCTTGTAGTACCCACTGCTGCATTTTCAACACAATGCATGCAGTTAAATAGTTTGCAACTTTGTGCATAAATCCTTTTTAAACAATGGTTACATCTTATATACCAAGTATTTTTGTTGTCAAGATTGATGTTGATTTTGTATTTAATCCAAGCAGGTTGAGTCTATAAAATGAAATGAATTATAAATTTATATTTGTTATAATATATTTAAATGATGAACAATAAAAAAATAATAATTTCTCTCTAGGATTCCTAGGATTTTCTCTCGTTCTCTACGGTTCCTAGGGTTTTTACCGACGATATCTTCTTCTTTTTCCGGCGAACGCCGGCTTTTCTCACGGCGATGGACGAACGCAGCGTTGGGGTGACAGCGGCAGCAGACTCGGCGGAGGCAGTAGACAGGCTGGCGGCGAGTTGGGCTGAGATGGCCTTGGAAGGGGAGGCGGAGGAGTTCGCTCCGGACGGCGACGATGTAGGGGAAGTCGAGGTTGACGGGGAGAAATCATGGGCCGTCGTAGGGCGGTTTCTCACAGCGAAGGTAGTCAAGCTCGAGTTTATGCGGCAGGTTATGGCTTCCGTGTGGCAGCCGGTAAGGGGTGTTCAGGTAACTGAAATTCAGTATGTATCACGACACGGATGTTCAGTATGTATTGGATGGGGGACCTTGGGCGTTTGAGAATAACACTCTAGTTTGTCGAGAAGTAGTGGGGGGGGATGAACCCGAGTGATGTGCCATTAGATACGGTTGATATGTGGATCCAGTTGCATGATTTACCAATGGGTTATACGTCGCAGAAAGTTCTTGAACAAGCAGGTAATTTCATTGGCAAATTCGTAAAGCATGATGATCGATTTGTTGGGGCTCCATGGTTAACTTTTTATCGTATTCGGGTCTCGATTGCGGTAGACAAGCCATTGAGGAGGGGTATGAAGCTGCTTAAAAGGGACAAGACTACATGTTGGGTTTCTTTTAAGTATGAACGACTCCACAAATTTTGTTTCTTTTGTGGACTCATGGGGCATGTCCATACTTTTTGCTTGAAGGCCCGGGAAAGTCGGGTGCCGGCGGACAACTTCCCGTATGGAGTTGAGTTGAGGGCGGGGGGTAGTCGGGGTGCTGCAAGAGGGGTGGGCGAGAGTTGGCTTGTACCGGTGGGGGGAGACCGTTGCCGATGCCGGTGTCTGAGCCGGATGGTGACGAGGGAGTTGGAGGGAGGATGGCGGAATGCCGTAGGGGTGGGGGGGGGGGGGGTTCGGATGGTGTCACGCTGGGGGGTGGAGTTGTGGTGGCAACTGGGAAGCGCCGCATGCAGGGGCAACAAGGGTGTGTTGGATCGGAGGATGGGGATGTGGCAATGAGCGATGTTTCAAAAAACTTGTGTATGGCGGGAGTTGCTATTCAGCCCCGCCCGTCCTCATGAGTACGCTGAGTTGGAACTGTCGTGGCTTGGGCAATCCACGAACAGTTCGACAGGTGGTGGACATTGTGTCCCATAAGAAGCCTGGGTTTGTATTTTTAATGGAGACTATGGTGGCACGGATACATGTAGAAAGGCTCCGTGTCACACTTGGATATGAGGGCTTGTTTTATGTGGATAATGACGGGTTGAGTGGTGGAATGGCTTTGTTCTGGAGGAAGAATAATTCGGCAACTTTGTTGAGTTATTCTATAAATCATGTAGATGTGGAGGTAAGGGCTCAGAACGGGAAACAATGGCGAATGACATGTTTTTATGGACATTCTGATCGTAGTAGGAGATGGGAGTCCTGGGATTTGTTACAAAGTTTAGAGACTAGATCCTTGTTGCCCTGGGTGGTCATAGGGGATTTTAATAATCTCCTGTTCCAGCACGAGAAGAGAGGGGGGAATCCATACCCGAATCATCTCTTACGAGGCTTTAGAGAGACCCTTGATGGTTGTGGTTTAATGCAGTTACCTATGAGGGGCCATCGGTTTACTTGGGAAAAAAGTAGAGGGACGGGAATTGGATTGAGGAAAGACTCGATAAGGTTTTAACAACAACTAATTGGTGTGGACTAAACGACAATGCGGAAGTGGAGAATATTATAGCCTGACCCTCGGATCACTCGGCT